TGATAATTTTATACAGTATATAATGTAATGATGTGTTTTGATGAGAAATTTTTAATTTTGAAGTTCCATTTATCAATTTTTTGAAACTTTTGTCTAAAAAATCTTTCCTTACCCAAGGATTATGAAGCTATCCTATAATTTCTTCTATAACCCTTATGATAAGCCAACTATATTTCTCTAAAAAAATATCACTTTAAACATAAAGATACAAAAAGTTCAAAAATAAAGAGATGGAAAATATATACTATGTTAACACTAATCAAACAAAAGCTAGAACAACTATATTCATGCAGACTTCAGAACAAGGAAAATTTCCAGAGATAAAAAGAAGAATTACATTGTAGTAAAATGGTTAATTCTCCAAGGAGACATAACTGATCCTATTATGTACATGACTAACACCAGTGTATCAGAAACATGTGAGATATGGCTGGGGATATAGCTTAGTGTTAGAGTGTCTGCTTAGCACACTCAAGGCCCTGGGTTCAATCCTCAGCATTACCAAAGAGGATGGGAGGCAAAAACTGATAGAAATGCAAAACAAATAGACAAATCCTTTATTATAGCTGTAGACCTCAGCACTCCTCTAATAATAATTAACAGATCCAGTGAACAGACAGTTAATAAAGACACAATTGAATCAAAAAGTACCAAAATAAACTGGATCTGACATTTATAGAATACTTCATCTAACAACTACCAAATACACATTCTTTTCAAGCTCACATAAGATATTCACCAAGACAGACCACATTCTGGGCTATAAAATATGCCTTAACAAACTACAAAGAGCAGAAATAATATAAAGCTAACTTCATATTTAATGGCAAGAAACAAGATGCTTTACCCCATGAAATTGAAAACAATGAAAGAATGTCACCTCTCACCATTTCTAAAACAACATCATACTGGAAGTTGTAAATAACACAATATAAGAAGAAAAGGAAATAAATGGTATTCATAGTGGGAAGAAAGAAAGAAAAGTCTTTGTAGTTGACATGATTGTCCATGTAGAAGATTCCAAACAACTGACAAAAAAATTCTGAAACTAATACCTGATTATTAAAAGGTTGTAGTGTATATACAAAGTGAATACACAAAGCCAAATGCTTTTCTTATAAACAAATCCTTTCCAGAAAGGAACAACTGGCATTTGAAATTAAAAACAATACTATTGGGCAGGGGATGTGGCTCAAGTGGTAACGCACTCGCCTGGCATGCACGGGGCGCTGGGTTTGATTCTCAGCACCACATAAAAATAAAATAAAGATGTTGTGTCCACTGAAAACTGAAAAATAAATATTTAAAAAATTCTCTTTCTCTCTCTTTCTCTCTTCTTTCTCTCTCTCTCTTTTAAAAAGAAATACTATTCACACTAGCACCCCACCCCAAATGAAAAGTTTAGGAATAAATCTAACAAAAAATATATAAGATCTATGTGAAATAAACTACAAAACTGATGAAAATAAAGAAAATCTAAATAAATGGAGAGAGATTCCATGTTCACAGGAAGAAAGACTCAATATTATCAAGATAAAAATTCCAAACTTCATCTTGGCAATCAATTTCCAACTCCAGCAGAAGTCTGGGGTTGTAACTCAGTGGTAGGGCACTTGCCTGGCATGGGTGAGGCACTGGGTTGGCTCCCAGCATCACAAAAACAAACAAACAATAACAACAACAACAAAAAAATTCACCAGTTTACTTTGTGGATACTGTCAATCAAACTCTAAAATCATTTATATAGAAGGGCAAAAAAGACTCAGAATAGCAAAATATTGAAGAACAAAGTTAAAAGATTGGCACTACTCACCTTCAAGATATAATATAAAGCTATAGTAAAAGAAAAGACAGTGTTATAAATGTGAAAGGATTGAGAAATAGTTCAAAGAAATAGAATACAAAGCACAGAAATACATCCACACAAATATAATCAAATGACTTTTGACAAAAAAAAAAGCAAAGGAAATCCAATAGAAAAGTGTAGTCTTTTCAGGAAATATTGCTGGAACAACTGGACATCCATGTGCAACAAATAAGTAAGTAAATAAATCCACTGACTTTCACTTTTCACAAGAATTAACTCAAAATGGATCACAGACCTACATGTAAAACACAAAATTCTAACCCTAGAATAAAACATAGGAAAAAAATCTAGATAATGATGGTTTTGGCAATGAGATATTAGAAATAATACCAAAGCACAACCCATGGGAAAAAAATAAAGGTACTCTTTATTTAAATTAGAAACTTGTGCTCTGTAAAGACGCTATTAAGAAAATGGAAATACAAGTGATAAAATGGGAGAAAAATTTCCAAAGCCCGTATTTAATAAAGGACTTGTATTTAAACTATACAAAAAATAAACTTAGTAATAAAAATACAACCAACCAAATTAAAAAGTAGGCAAAAAACCTAAACAGAAAACTAATCAAAGAAAATAAAGCATTATGACCTAACAATTGCACTCCCAGGTATTTACTCAAATGAATTGAAAACCTGTGTGCATAAAAACCTGAAAATGAGAGGTGGAGTTGTGGCTCAGTAGTAGAATGCCTGCCTAGCATATGTGAGGCACTGGGTTCAATCTCCAGCACAAATAAAATAAAGGCATTGTACCTATCTACAACTCAAAAAATATTTTTTAAAAAACCCTAAAAATGAATGTTTATAGCAGCTTTATTCATAATCACTCCCAAATTTGAAGCAACTGATATGTTCTTCTTTGGTGACAGAATAAACACTGCGGTACATCCATAAAATGCAAAGTTATTAAGTGATAAAATGAGTTATCAAGCCATAAGAAGATAAAAGAAGCTTAAATGCATACTATCAGGCTAAACATGTTATATACTGCATACTTCCAACTCTCAGCCCTCAAAAATGTCAAAACTATAGAAATGAAAAGAGACAGTGACTGGCAGGGGTTTGTGAGAGAACAGATAAAGAAAAGATGGAGAATAGGGGATTTTTCAAGCAGTGAAATGCTTCTGTATAATACTACAATGGTGGATACATGTTATTATGTAACTGTCATAGAAATGTACAACACAGAGTGAAACCCCCTCCCCAATGTAAACTATGGACTTCAGTTAATAATATGCCAATATGGGTTCACTGATTATAACACATGTACAATATAAAGCAAGATGTTAATTATAAGGAAACTGTGCATGGGAGTAAGCGGAGAATATATGGGAACTCTGTAAATTTTGTTCAACATTACTATAAATCTAAATTGCTCTAAAAATAAACTCTATTGTTTTTAAAATAAGCAGAGTCTGGTAGTGCACACCC